TATCAGCTAAGATTTAATTCAGTTCACTTGTAACGATGCCAACACCAAAATAAACTAATATAGGCAAAAACAAATCAGCCCACAGCTAAGTGACTCAATACGTGGGGACACTGTACTTCCTGTTTACATCCTTAAAGCCCCAGAGTACTGGGAATATAAATCCAAAACTTAGAGTGATTTCTTCTGATGGGGGCCTCACAGTGTTACACCATGAAAAACCCTATTGCAACTATGAGATTTGCATTCACATTACCTGTGTTTTTGTAAAATGTCTCAACAACTGCTTTTTGGCAGGAGTTGCATAAGAATCATCAGGTGAGCAAAACCCTTCATATGTGCTTCATCAATTTAAGCCAACTACATCACCAAAGGGCTCAGCTGTGAAATGTTGTGTCTCCGCTGCTCCCCCTCCATACTTGACTGTCACAGTTTAAATTTAAAGCCCAACTGAGCGCTCGCTTCTTCATCCATTCTCACTGGCAGCTTTGTGGAAACAGTACCAACACTACATAGATGAATTAAAAAAATGCATCCCGCCACTAGGTCATTTGTTTGCATTACTGTCAGACGATACATTATGAAAGAAGAAATGACAGCCATGAATACAGTGACAAGTGAAGGTGCATCTATCAACTACCTACACAGCTTTTCCGGGAGCTGGAGCGAAGTCGCACTGACCATGGACAGGTCACCAACGTGTCAGTGCTGTCAAACAACAATTTAGACTCTCCGACTAAACTAAAGTGAGGAACACGGGAGGGAGCCGCAGTGTCAACGCAGACATGCAAAGGCGGCAGTGCACTGCATCACCCAGCTACATTAGTGACACTGTGATTTTCCAAACTGAATGTTCTGATTTGGGAATCTCTGTTAAAGTTTTCAAACAAAGTAATACTGCAAATTCAGCTCACAGTGTTTCCATAAAAAAAAAAAAAATGTGTGTCATAGGCCTTGCACTCTCCCTTTCATAATTACCTGCACAATAAAAAAGGAGGCATTAGTTAGGGTCAGTTCTGTTGTATGGTATTCCTGCTGCAGGACTTAAATTAACTACTGACTGACATAACTTGAGCTCCAACATGCTAATGAGAGGAAATGATGAGGATATGCATTTGAGCGAGACTAATTGTACCTGACAGAATTTTCACAGGGCAAATAACCATTGGTAACTACAGGGCAGGATCTGACACGGTTGTGCACATTAACGTGTTGACAGGGCATGCTCCAGGTACAAGACAATTCCCACCACTAATTACATTAACATACCTCTTCTCTGAAAAGTGATCCTGTTCACACTGACTTTATTATGCTGTCAACACAACTGCAGTCACCTTAACTCTCTGGGCAAGTCATGATGCTGCTGCCCAATGCGAAAAGAAGGTTTATGGGGTCTGTCCTTCACAAAAACATGGGTAGAGCCTAGTTTGATAGCACACCTAGCAAAACAACGCAGAAAGGCAGGGATCACACTTTACAGTAAATCTTACTGAAGCAATATTGGCCCCTGCTCTGCTTTGAGCTTCCACAGTAACGGTGTTGATGGAGATTGATTTTCTAAATAGAACAAAATCATAATTAAACTGTTGTCTTAGTAGTCAAAGGTCAAATCTGAAATCAATATACTAATGATATCTAAAGGAATCATTCACTATCTCTGCTGTCTATGCCAGAATCAGATATCCGTAAGGAATTTTTAGGCAGCTCTGATATGGAGAGTCTAGAATAAATCAACTACTGTAATGTGAGCATCATGGCAATGTTATGAAAGTGAATAAAAAGCTTTCTGATCGTATGGAGTTTCTGCCAAATGTGCATATTAGTTGCTTAAATATGAAGAATCTAGCAGTGAAACTTCAAACTTGACCACTGCATACTGTAGCTAAAGATAGACAATGCTTCTCCACCTCCTCCAACCATCCAGAAAAGAGCACATAATATCCCAGGTACAAATGCTGCCATCTGTGTCGATGATGTCATAGAGCCAAAGTCTAATGGTAAAGAAGTCCACTGACACAGGTGCCTGACCAGTCGCGACCAGTCAGTGTCAGCTGTCAGTCATGATGTTCCACCCTGTTATTATGGTGTCAAATAGTTAATAGACAACAAATAAGCACTTGGTCATTCAGCGTTACAATTAGAACTATCGCAAATGACAGAATCCATCTCTGACATAATACATTTTAGGTATAATCTGACTTTTTAGTTTTGCCCATGTCCCATCCTATAACTTGGAGGCTGGGTTTAGACAGCCACTAGGGGGCAATCAAAACACTATGGCTTCACTTTTCAGGAGCCATGATGTCATCTTTTTTTTTTTATTATAGTCTATGTTCTGGACTGAGAAACATCATCAATCAAAATTTGTTATTTTTGGTTCTTTATATTTTTCTGTTACTGATCAACTGAGTCCAGTTTAATACAGCAGCATTGTTTCAGGACCATTTATGGATCTCTGCAGCGCACGCACAACCACAGTCTCTGCACACAGAGCAGATTGTCTTTGAACGAGTTACGAACCATTTAACAATCAAAATGCTCTTTATGGCTTTGTATCGCAAAGTGATTACTTCTTCTTATTCTTTTTTTTTACTCTGGTTTTCTTCCTCTTCATAATTGATTATGTGTTAGATGTTTTATTACCCTTTGAATAATGACTGCCAAGACCTCTGCATCAACCTCACAGGGATGCTTAAGACTCCCCGCAACAATAATAAATAAAAAAACAAATTCTCATTAAGTGTGAAGACAAACAGTGAGACGTGTTCAGAGAGTTAACAGCAGCTGTATTCTGCAAGTGGTGTTTTTGGGGGGTGGGTAGTAGTAGAAGTATCAGTAGTATTGTACCTTTTGAAATATTTTATTTCTTTAGCTGGGCTTTCTATTTGTAACATTTCTATAGTTTCATAGAGTTTGACAGGCCTCTTTTATATTTCCAGCTGATATTCCCTGATATTGATATAAAATATTTGTTCCATGATGTAATAATTAATGGGATCTCTCTTCCACTTCACCGTTAAAGAAGTTACTGGCCGCGAGGGTCCAATTTCAGGTCAACCAGCTTGCCCTAGATAAACTTTTACTGGTCCCAAGCCACTGGGCCATCGGTTATGCCGGGCCCTGATCATTGACTGAAAAGGGTCCCAGGAAATGTTATCACTCACCGTACGTCCACCGCGTCCTCCATGACCGTCATGTCCGTCTTGCACTTGGCTGAGGGGTTGATGGCAAGCTCAGCAGGGGGGATGACGAAGCTTTTACTCAATGGCAGCCACATTCCCTCTCCTAAGGTGTATGTGAACCTGCCCGGGACAACAAGGGTGCATGAGACAAGAAGGTTTACAGGTTTATACTTTTCAAATAAAAAAAAACATGTTCAAATCAGTGGAATGCAGATGGAAACAAGAGCGAAATAATATTGTGGGTATTCACAGTGCAGTACAGAATATAATATTAACTGGGTTTCTTCCAAAACAAAACTGTTGACAAAAAACAAAGACCAAATGTCCACACAGTTGAATTGAACTATTATTAATATTGATTAATACAGAGCAAAAATGTACATTATAATATTGTATGAGGTAGCAGTCACAGTAGACTTTTGGTCCCTAGTGTATGGGTCAATCTCTAGAAACCATGGATCCATATCTTTCATTAAAACCAATTATGTCCCCTTTTGAATGCATCATGTGTTAATGATGCAGCCTCTCAGCTCAAAATGTCTCCAAACCAAAATCAAGATAAACTTCATGACATCATCAGGATTTTTTCCTCAAACTTAAGAAAGCCACAGGAACCAGAGACAATCTCGACACAAACTTCACGTGTTAAATAAGTGAAGTTAGCGCCACATCAGTGTTCATTCTTCCTCGTGTAAAAAAAAAACAACCACTAAGTCTTGTCACACCAGCTACTTTTCAAAGATAAATGTTTCCGCTGCATCAGTGACTCTGAATAATGGCATCAAGCTGGTTATTTATTTTAGCTTTCAGCAAACTTATCCTTTTTGCATAACTCTTCCTTGAGCAGGAGGATTCTGTGAGCTAATGGACACAATGCATACCAAATGAGGTACCCTGACAAAAAAGAGCCAATAAGAGTTTCCCCTGAGGCAAAACAGGGCTATAAATCTGTAAACAATGTCTGGGACGAGGGCTTTAAAACAATTCTTTATTTGTGAGTCAATGAATATCATCATGCGGTCTGCACATGAAACGTAATACTTACAATTGTAAGTTAAACAGTCCACACTGATTTACATCAAATGCATTATTAGCGCTGATTAATTATACATGCATACTTGTGGCACAGAAGAAAGGAACTTGTTGATTAAATGGTTAACATCCATTTTTATGCAGACTAAACACATTTCCTCATTCAAAATTTGCATTTAGAAAAATGCTAACTTAGCATAAGTAAAAGGGCAGTGAATCATGGAGGCTGCACGCATTACCAGTCACTTTAAGAACAGAATGATTAAACCACAGTGTAAGCAGAACACTTAATTACATCCACCCAATTACTCCCTTTGTTTCAAAGTCAAGTTTTCAGTGGATCAAAGTGCAGCCGATCTCCCACTTTGTGTAAAAGTTGTGGTTCTTATTAGACTCTATTTAAATGGTGATATTACCACATCATTTGTTTCTTCCTGGAAGCTGCTTCCATCTCTCTCATAAGACATCTCACCATTACTTAAGGGACCGTGTACAGGAGAACAGAAATTCCCTCTGATGCAGTGTGACGTATATTGGTGGCCACGGGACAAATTAGCACCCACTTAACGAGGACTGCTTTACTGGCAACTGGGACGAGCTGCTATGTGACTTATTTGGTTCACACTGGAGGTAGAAAACACTAAGAGATCCCATGCGGGAACAGTTGTTGAGTGGAAAACATGTTTGCAGTCCTCGAAGGAGCGCCTGGCAGTTAATACTGTGCAAATGACAAACGCCATGTGTTTGAATGCCAACCCTGAGGAGAATATTGCATGCATCCTTGACTTTGCTTTGTTTCATCCCACTCTCTATACCACTGTGTTTATAATTGCCTCATTTGCTGCGTTGTTTAATGGTAATATCTGCTTAAGTAAACACAATGGTGGCTGCACGGCTCTCAGAGCGCTGGGTGACATTCAAGGTCCTTTTTTTTTTTTTTCCACCGTGTGGAGCCTACAGGGTTGTTTGGTGAAGTTCAAAGCTAGAGACCGAAACGTTTAAATTAGGATGGATGGCTGGGTGGGAGCAGTCTGAGGAGAAAGCAATTTTAAACTTCACAGCTGGACAGAATGAGAAGGAAAAGGCTTCTTGCAGGAAACCAGAAAACATGCTGGCAGGGAGGACTATGTGTCAAAGCACTTCCTACAATCAATCAACTACTTTACTTGTCACCATAGGACAATTAATTGTGCAGCTGTGAAAGAAAAGATACAACCCAAGGCATATGGATGCAATACAAACACAAATGGAAGATATTTGAAATTTTAATTACAGTTAGGTAGAAAGTAAGTAAAAAGCCGGTACATGGAATGAGATTTTAAAAGTGTTAGTTTGGGTAATGGAACATGAAATAGGGGGTGTGAACTTGAATGTCCTTGTCTTTGTCCTTGTCCAGAAAAAGCCAATAATAATCTGTGCTGATATATCAGGAATATTACTATATATAATATATACTTTTACGGGCTATTAAAGGTTCTGTATTGATGCTACCAAACCCAGGCACCAATCAGCAGGTACAGTTAGCAAATAGCTGGTGACCACAGTGGAGCATTTAGCAGCTACAAATTCAAATATAGTGAATAAAGAGTGGTAACCATCACCACCAAATGAAAGCTAATGCTGTGTCTTGTCTGCTCGATATAAGCAAACACATTGGCCTTTACAACTCAATGACAATATACCCGCTTTGCTTTTACAAAAAATAAACAATCTGCAGATATTCTGGCCACTTGGGGGCAGTGGAGAAATGTTGTGTACACATTGATTAGTTCAGGAGTAGCATTAGCATTTAACTGAAGTGTTTCTGGCCACATTAATAAATTCAAAATTGACTTTTTTATCTTTAACAGAGATCTGACTGAGTGAAATATCTCAGTCTGCAGTTGCTAAGAGCCCCCCCCCCCCTAGGTTCACCTGCTACGCACTCTTTGTTGGCTGTTTGATGCAGTGCATGTAGTGTACAGAGGATTTTTAGAGCTTATTTACTGAAAACAGCAGCTGGTTGAGGCTAAAGACGGTGGTATGAGAGCTGAGAGAGTGAAGCAGTGGGCTGGACAAATAAACAATGAGCTGAAACTCACGTATAAAGCTGTGTGAAGCTGAGGAAAGGTTCAGCTTCAGGTGATAATTCTCTGTAGGTTCATCAGAGAGAGTGATTCCTTTCATACTGTGAAACTTTTTTTTTGCACTGATAGTATTAATCTATTAATTAATGTCACTTCAAAGATTTATGCCTTCAGTGAATAGGCATGGGACTGAGTGTCAGCACACACTGAGTGAAGATGAATGTATTTATGGAGACAACTTTATCCTTTAATGAAATGACAAAGATAAATATAGAGTTGTCACATGTGATCTTATTAGAAAGTCTTACACCACTGCAAAGCCGTTTTCAGGCATTAACTCCGGAGAATGTCTGCAGAATTTGGTCCAGAGTTTCTCCAGAGTTTGCCTTTCACACATGAACAATGTAGCAGGAGATTCTTCACTCAGACACTCAAACACAGGAATATCTGGAGCGTTCAGGTGAGGGGTGGTGCTGCATGCAGAGGGAGGACGTAATATATACATTCTGCTGTGGATATCACATTTTTCTTTACAGCACATCAGAACAGGTGATTTTATCATTCAAAGCTCTCTCGGCATCTTCATCTGTGTCTTTTTCATCCTGACATATTTTTATTCTTTTTGTTCTTTGCAGCTTCTGTCACACATTAGAAACATCATCAACATGCCCACTCGTTGGCGGTGAATCCGGCGGAGGATCTCCTGCTGTGTTCTCACATGGACTCGCTCAGACAGAGAAACTCTAGAGGAAGTGTCACTCTCTCAATCAGACATTTGATGTCTCACATGCAGCCCCTCAGGAGAATATCTGGAGTTCAGTCCATCTCTGAAAGCAGCCCAAGTGAGACATTGCAATACTGCAAAAGGACATATTTTCATGTGGTCACACTTTTACAAGAAATTTTAACATATATGAACTGCTGCCTTGCTGAACTGCATTTCTCTCCTAACTAAACGGTGTATTAAAACTTGAGTCTGCATGTGCACCAGTGCACCGATATGAACAGAGAGATAATGAGCACCTTTAGAAAGTGAAACACCGCTACAGGAGGCCGGAGCTCAGCCAGAGCTCAGCATCCTAATAATCATGAGGAACAAAGATAATCAAAGCTGGTGTACTGGGATTATAACAACTAATCTGATGACACAATCTTCTGTGAAGAGTTCTGCAGCTCCATGGAAATAGCAGTCGTATAAAACAAAGTTTTGTGAAGTTCCTCTCACCTGAAAATGCGATCAGAGGGTTGTTCTCCCATCACAAGATCAAAACCGCGTTGGAAGATAGTGTAAGGCCAGGGACTGGCATGGAAAAAAAGAAAAGATCAGAGAAAGAGACAAAAAAGAGGAGAGAGAATAAAATTGTATTAAAATCAAAGCAAGCGAAGCGTTAAATTTTTCAGTGTATCCATCCCCCTAATCTAAACCTCCTGAAATCACAAGCCATATTTCAGTGTCGAACTTTGTGTCATCCCCCTCTTCCAAAGCCCCCACAAATCACAAGCAGCATTACGATGTGTGCTATGTGTAAACATGCTGATTGAAAAATGTGTTCTCCGGCACATGACATGCAGTGGGACTTCGGCTCATATCCATTTATCAGGGGGAGGGGATAAGAGAGGATGACAGGGTGAGACAGAGTGGGAGAAAGAGACGGAGGGTGACGGAGCGAGCAGACGATGGAAAAAAGAGAGACAGGGAGCGGGGAGAGATAGAGGAACGCCGAGGGGATGAGACAGATGCCAGGAGGCAGAAGTGAGAGAGGGAGAATGATGGAGATTAATGGGGAGTGGCAGCTCGGGGACTAAACAGTCTGCAAAGTGAGAGTGTAAGGAGGAGAAGTGACAGGGGCCCAATGTCATTCTGAGCAAACTCCTACACCACTGTAAGCAAAAAGAACATCAAGGGAGAGGGGGGCGGCTTCCATGCCACAGGCTGCGGTCATTAAACATTTAAGTCACCCCAGAGGGCTCATGTGACAGAGACACAGGGAGGACACCAGGGGAATGAGATACAGGGGTGCACAGGGCTGAGGGGAAAATTGGGATGTCTAAAGAAATGTAGACCAAAAAAATCCACATTTTGAACATGCACCAAGGCTGACGAGGGATAGAGTGAAAAATAAAGGGAATATAGCACGATCAGTCTGCTGCAAGCCGCTCACTAGTGGTTTTAAAGGCTGAGCTTTTCGCCCTTCATAATAAATTCAGTCTCAGTGTGTGATGAAATTATTTTTGCTTAGGAAAACCCAGCGCCAGTCCACAAAACATCCCAAAAAAATCAAAGTAGGGAATTTATTTATTCTTGGCATTTCTTAAGAGGCGCTCTGTGGAATTTTGACCATAAGTAACGCTGTGGAGGATGTTTTTTTATGAATGAGTCCCTGCTTTTTTTCATGTTGTGCACAAGGCTGTGCATGCTGGAGTGTCATTGTGCAGGTGACCCTGGGCTTGTTGCTGTGGAAGGTTTCATCCTGATGCCCTGATTTAGAGTTGCTGGGAGTAACATGTCCATATAAATACAGCAATGTGCAACTAAGGCTGCAAACAAGGGAAATGGAACATAAACAATGCACAATATTGTATGCGAAAAATGAATTTGCAAATTTTTTATGGGAAAGGAAATGCACACTATATGTTTTGTAAAGTAAAAGTAACTTTTTGTTTATAAGAAAATACTGAAGGGCTTATTTAATCCAATTACTTGAACACACACACAATGCATCTTCCTATATATTTAAGTTTAGGTGATAAAGCATGATCACAAATCTGTCTGTAAATAGATCTAGTACATGTAGTACATTTCCTTTTCTATTGGTCAAACTTATTCTGAAGGGAGGTTAATTATTCATTTAAAAAAAAGACTATATATTTTTTAGAAACAACAGATGCTAGATCATTTTGATGGTTCACTGACTTTGAATAGAGAGAATGTTTCCCCTTTCCACGCCCCACCCGTAGCTCCTGTTCTTGCTTTATGTAACTTTAGTGAGTGGGTACAATTTCTTGTGGAACTGACTGATAGTTGCAACCTCAAGTGAAGTCATTAAAATCCAGCGCTTATCTCCAATATTCATAGAGGACACTTTAAACATGAAGAATTCTAAAAAGACTTTTTTATGTGTTCGTTAAAGTAGCAGCTCTTCTTGTACAGGAAGCCAGGGACTACATGAAAACAACTTCATCGCTACAACGCGGAGCCTGCAATAATTAATCACCGTGAGGGGCTGCAGAGGGCGCTGTTATTCTTTAAGAGCTACGTAGTGTTGCTTTAAATAGCACAAAACATATATGGAGCCTTGAGTGAGCCACCGGAAAAATAATAAGCTCTTACTGTGTTTCTTATAAGCAATATTTACTTTATTTAAAAAGTTGATTCATTTCAGAATGTTAATAGGTTAAATTTCAGTTGAACACTCTGAGGTGACTTGTTCTGTTCAGGAGAGTAACTGCTAATACAGGAAACCCAGTGTTTGGCACTGTGGAGGTGGTGTTCGCCAAATGTCAAGGACTTTTTAACAAGAAACCGTGAACCCAATTAGACATTTATATGACTTCCTGTGCCACAGTCTGAAACAGCTATTTTCAAAGCCAAAATATATATTAAGTCATCACTTGGAATCATTATATTGATATAGAAGCGGTTTTACACCCATAGAGATGAGCAAAACAAAATAACATGATAAAACACCAATAATTTCTCTGACAACGATTGGCTGAAAAGTGATATATTGATAGTGCTAGCATTCATACAACTGTCTTGTAAGGCTGTGTGGGATTTTAGATTTTGAGGCACTCCAACAATTTTACATAAAGATCAATACACCCCATGAGGAGTAGCTTTGCAGCCATTAAAAACAAGCTGTGGCTGCAGAGGAGCCCTGTCAAACCAACAAGAAACTACAACTGAATATATCACAGTGATGGGATCATAGAACTTGGAAGCTGGGAGTTTTTAACAAAAAGTCCACATTAGAAAGACACGGAGGGGGTTTAATAAATGAATATACCATCAGTTGGATTAAGTGTTTGGGGATTTCTGATTTAATTTAATTCAATTAAACACTGTTTACAATCCTGTTATGTTTGCCTTTTGTAATATATCAAGTGAAAATTGAATTAGCCCTGGCTACAGTAAATAACTGTATTGTCTGTATCCAGATAATTAGTTGCTTATGAATCTATAGTTTAGTTGTTCCTTTAGTTTGGTCTGATAATTGGCTTTGACAACATCACAGCCCCTTTCTCATTTATCCGTCCCAGAAAATGAATGGCCTTGTTTGATACATGGGAGAATTTCCATTGTAGTAAATTATTTATCCACCATTTCTTCTGGGCCTGATAATGAAAAGCCATTATTCCTCATCGGGTGATAATAGTAACTTACCCCTGGTTGGGCCCCCACTCGCTGCGGATGCAGAGGTGCTTGTGGACTGGGTCCTTCATGTAGCCGTCCAGGCAGAGGCAGTCTCCTGCAAACAGAGAAACAGAGATTCAATCATGTGTTCATTACAGTTGAGCCTCTTTTCACTCAGTGGAGAACTCCCTTTGCTCCTGTCCTTTTATTTTTCTCCATGAGAGCTATCGCAAAGACAATCCTCCTCAGGAAGATAAAGCACTTTTTATCATCGCTTATGTTTTAATGATGTAGTCAGTTTTCCTTCAGCCATCCAACCCGTAGCTTTGTCTAAATTCTACAGCAAAAGCGCAGAAAGTTTTCCGGCAGGAGCACTTTTAATGGATAATGGGAATGACAGCCCTCATGTTGCATAATGAGTTTTTTTTTAGCTTGGGCACAATTAGCATGAAAATAACTTGTTTATTTGGGAAACATACAAAGCAAAGAGCTCCTCTAATGAATGCTTATACACATGAGCCTCATACAAGCACAATGCATAACAGTGTCTTTGAATTACTACAATACAAGCAGCTGACAGATTAGTTCAACCAACAATACAGGGTCCATAGGCATCAATGCATTCATGATACTTAATACAAATCATATATTGAGAAAAATAAACAAAGGTAGGAGTAAAAAAAAACTGCTACTGTAATTTGTAAGTCGAACTAACTTTGTAACTTCCTAGATCATTCACTAAGGGAGAGGAGCCAGTCACAAAGACTGTATATAAAGATAGATATAGATGTCACCCACAGGTTGGTTGTGACAATCAGTGCGGGCTGTTTGGCCATCGCCACCGTGGCTCCTGGTTCGACAGTGGGCAAGAATGTGGATCAAGGATGCTGCTTAAGTGTAATGAAGATGAAACCTGGTTAAAGACATCCCCACCGTAGCTATGGCAAAGAAACTGGGGTAAGAAGCTGGGCTACTTTACATTACTAGCCTTCTATTGCCCAAATAGCACAAAACAAATTTGGGCCACCTTTGGTCGACATGCGGTGTTGCCACGGCTCACTTGTGACCCAGATCTGAAGAACGGGAGCGGGCCGCCCAAGTGCCATCATTCCAAATGGTATGTGGTCGGGATATGGGATGTACAGCTCATCTGGGCCAAAACAATCTTTCTATGTGTGTAGAAACTCAAAACTCAACATATTCATCAGCCAATTCATGTGTGATAGTAGCTATTTAGTGTTCTCACCATAAACTTTTAGATGCTGGCTTGTATAGCCATAATTAGTACGAAGCTTTGTCTGGTCGTTTACACTGCTGGTGTAAATTGTACGCATATTTATGATGCTGATTACCTTCGCTACGACTGCTCCGTTAGACATGTACTTCTATCTGTCACAAGATGTTCATTTCTTTCAGTACATCAGTACTTTTTGAGGTCATGGCTACCTGTGATGCTTCCACTTGCTGCATATAACATAAACTCTTAGTACCAGTCTCAGCTACCTTTCACAGATGCCATGACATACAGTATTCAGCATTATGTAAAAACTCATCGATGTTTTCATGTGTTTCTTTCTTGTTCTTTTTCATCCAGTAGATGTATCATGACAGGATGTCTGATAGAAAGTGGCCTTTTTCAGTGAACTTTATATTTTTCATTACCTAAAGCCTTTATTACACTCATTTATTTCCCTCCCATCATCACAGTGTGGAGCGTTGGTGACAGCTATGTACGGCGTTCTGCCTATAGAAGATTCAGAGACATAAAAAAGCACCTATATGGTGCTGTTTGTCTGTGTGTGTTGAGTTGGAGAACTGAACAAAGCCTGGCTTTTTTCGACCCCTTCTTTTCAAGCCCCCTGCGAGGAGGAGTACTACCCGATGTCCGCCTCATCCATTGTGGAAGCAGTAACATGTGGGAGAAGTATTATGTTTTTTTGTTTCTTTCAACCAAAGGTGCTGTTATTATTTTGAATTCGGCCTTTTGGTGCCATTTTGTGAGGACTGTTTGTCATGCATATTGTTGAGCATATTTTTATGTTGATTATTGTAACAAAAATATACATGTGAAGCCACAACACTGCTCTTCTTCATCCCTACAACCCCACCCACTATTCCATTTTCCTCCTATCACCGCAGGGACACTGCAGCACCGAGCCTGAAGAGGACAGATCCATAACCACTTGCACCAGCCAGTCTGTTGATTTTTATTCGAGTTAATGTGTTTAATTTAACTGTCAATTCTTACAGTCCACATTTTGGTGTGTTATGTAATTTGATTTAAAATAACGCTTTGTGAGTAAATGTGCAAACAATTTTCAC